TTTATATCTGAAAATAGAATTTTTTTTTATCAGAGAAAACCAGGATTAGCACCTCTGCTAAACTCCTTGAAAAGTCAAACTGGCTCTGTCCTCAAGTCCCCATTCAACCTTAAATAACTCCCAAATGATTACTCAGTAATAACTCTAAAATTAGAGACAGTGGTAACTCTAAAATTTTGAAATAACATGGAGCTAGATGACATTCTGCATGCTTTACAACAGGGTTTACAGAGGTAGTCCTAATGGCTCCTAAAGGGGCATACACACAATATTCAGAACACTAGATCTCTCTGGTACAGTACCCTACAAGGCCTCACTAGCCACTGACATGACATGATAAAAGTAGGTAGGACGGCCCTACAGCTGCTCCTCTTCAACAGCACTCTTGAGAGTGGTGACAACTACATCCTCCTCTCTGCAGGGCCTCACCTATGGAGTCCCATAGGACTGTTTCTTATCTGTTTTTCTCTTCAGCATCTATATAAAAATCACTAGATTTAGGAGCTTAGATGATCTGGTAACATGAGTGTCTAAATATCATCTTAAACCTCTTACTGTCTAAGAAGCTGCTCCCCCATGAGGATCTAGACTTTGTGACCTCCAGGCTGGACTACTACATTTTAGTATATCTGAATTTTAAATATGAAACAAGTTCCCAGGCTGCATCTGGTACAAAATGCAGCTACCCACAAGGATATTAAGCTATTACTCAAGTTCTTGACGGCTCCTTGACAGTTTAGGGTCCTGATTTCCAGCTCCATTAAAGATTAAATTTCGACTTCTGTATCCCTTTGACAGGAGGGCATCGATAGTGCAGGTCAAAGCCCAGGAAAAAATGCAGGAGAATCTCAGCTAAGGGGTCACTCTAGTTAAGGAATAAACTTCAGAAGAAAATTAGGCTCTTGAGACTGAGCACCCGGTCTTGCACTTAGTGGGAGTAAGTGGGGGTTCATTTTCTGGGCTCAACAGGGGAGGTGGTGTGAGCATGCCCAGTAAGTTCACTAAGAACTTCTGATACAACTGCCAGACAGTACAAAGCCTTACGCTTACACAAAAAAACAAACAAAGAGTGAAGTTTCCTACATTCAAACTATCTAATGCACAAAATGAAGAGTAGGGAAAAATAAGCTTATTTAATTTTAGCCTGTAACAATGGATGAATAATTGGTATTGAAAAGTTACATTAATTTGGTCCAACAAAACTATCACCCTAAGAAATCCTTGCCTCTTTCACTGAAAAGTAATTAAAAAAATACTTTCCCTTTTATTATAAGAAAATGTATTCCCTCCATAAATAAAAAATGATAGGAGCAAAAGATGAGAGGGTATGTTCGAACATAAGAACTGCCACTTACTGGGTCAGACCATAAGTTCATCTGGCCCAGTATCCTGGCTCCTTGGATGCGTTTGAGGGCCAGTAGGTGCTGGCTGATGTGTTCCATTTGGTGTCTCCTTCTGATGACTGACTTTTTAACCTATGACCTCACTCCCATTCCTGTTTTCTTTTTTGTTGTCCCACATAATCAGTTGATGTGTCCCCAGTGGCCTCCCTTATTCAGGAAGGCTTACAGTTCCCGTGATGGGCAACAGCCCATGATCGTGTCAAGGTACATTGAATAGGTCTGTGTCATCTGGCCCAGCATTCTGGCTCCTTGGATGAGTTTGAGTGTCGGTAGGCACTCTCCGGTGTGCTCTGCTTGGTGTCTGCTTCTGAAGCCCTACTTATTAACCTATGACTTCACGCCCGTTCCTGTTTTTGTTGTCCTGCATATTTAGTTGATGTGTCCTCAGTAGCCTCCCTTCTTAAGGGAGGCTCATAGTTTCCCATGATGGGCTAAGTGGCACAACAAACCAGCCTGTTTCATACAGTCCACTGGCTCCTTGAATGCATTTAAGGGCCAGTGGGCACTGTCCGGTGTGCTCTGCTTGGTGTCCCCTCCTCCGCGCACTAATTTTGAACTGCTGACTTTTGCTCCAATCCATATTTCGTCCTTTAGTTGCCCCAAGCAATCAGTGATGTGCCCTTAGCAGCCCCCTCATCAAGGGGGGTTTATAGGTCTAGGAAGTTCTAATTCAGAGGCTGTATCCCTAGCTACCATACTCACTAGCAATTGAAGCAACTTCCCCCCCAACAGTCTCTCCAAGAATTTGTCCCATCCCTTCCTGAATTTGGCTAAACTGGCAGCTGCCACAATATCTGGTGGAGATGAGTTCCACGCTTCAATGACATGCTATGTGAAAAAAAAAACAACTTTCTTTGGCTTGTTTTAAGCTTGACACCTGCTTACTTCAGTGGCTCTCTACCTTTTCAGGCTCACTGGCCTCGAGGCTCCCTCCTGGGTTGGAAGGTGTGCAAGGAGGGACCAAAAACACACAAACAGGGTTGAGCGTGACTCCAGCCACACAAATTCCCTCCCCACACTGTATCTTCTGTGAATTGAATAGCACCCAAATTCAAAAACAGGTTGATCTGTGACAGTGGTGACCTTCTTTCAGAGGGGTCAGGCAGTGGGCATGGGGGACTGGCAAGGCCAGGGACACACTCAAGAAGGGCCTGCCATTCTCTGCTTATGTCCGTGCACCTTGTGCACTCTTCAAAGGGCCTGGCTTTTGAGGTGTCATCCCAGAACTTGGGCCAAAGCCCACCAAGCAGTGCTACAAGTTCCCTTCATGAGGGGGCTACTAAGAACACATCCCTGATTGCTTGGAACAAATAAGATAAAACAGGGATGGGAGTGAAGGTCAGAGGTTCAAAATAAGTGCGCAGAGTGGGGGTATTCACAGGAATCTGGAGGCACCACTGGCTGCCCTGCTACCCTGGAAATCATAAAAAATGAGGGTTGGAAGGGACCTCAGGAGATCATCTAGTCCAACCCCCTGCTTGAAGCAGGACCATCCCCAACTAGATCATCCCAGTCAAGGCCTTCTCTAGCTGGGTCTTAAAAATCTTCAAGGATGGAGAATCCACCACCTCTCTGGGTAACCTGTTCCAGTGCTTTCCTACCCTCCTAGTGAGAAACTTTTTCCTAATATCTAATTTAAACTTCCCTTGCTGGAACTTGAGACCATTGCTCCTTGTTCTGTCATCTGTTACCACTGAGACCAGTCTAGCTCCATTCTCTTTGGAACCTCTCCCTCCACCATGTACTTAAAAGCTCTCCTCCAAGTCTTCTCTTCTGCAGACTAAATAAGCCCAGTTCCCTCAGCCCCGCCTCAGAAGTCAGGTGCCCCAGCCCCTGAATCATTTTCGTTGCCCTTTGCTGGACTCTCTCCAATTTGTCTACATGCTTTCTATAGTGGGGCCCAAAACAATACAGTACTCTAGATGTGGACTCACCAGTGCTGAACAGAGGGGAGCAATCATTTCCCTCAAGCTGCTGGCAACACTCCTACTAATGCAGCCCAGTGCACTGTTATGAATATCCCAAGTTCTCAGCACATCATAGTCACAGTCCTGGAGAACTAGGGCCAGAAGGGACCTCCAGAGGTCATCCAGTTCAACCCCCTGCCTTAGGCACAACCACCCCTATCCAAACCATCCCATACAGCCATTGCCCACGCTCTACATAAGACTACCGTCAAAACCTACAGCCACTGGTTGAACTCCACAGCTTTGCTGTAGTGTGAAAAAGCATTTCCTCTCTAAAGGGTGGGAAACACAGGGAGATGGAGGGCACCACCGCAAGAGCAAAGGGGCGTTCAGTGAGTGACCCTTCCCTGCAGAATCTGCTCTGCTGTGATTCCAGAGAAGTGTAGGGAGCACAAAGGTGATGGAAATACCAAACAGCTCCTCAGAGAGCAGAGCAAAGAGGGGCCTGTCCATGCTGCCTGGGCCCCTTAGCAGCATTGCCTGGTCTTCAATGTGAAATTATCATATTGTAAGCTCAAAATGATTGTATTTGCTGAAAAACTATTGTATGCTGAAAAATATGTAAATAAGCATGCAAATGTCTTATTTACTTTATATTGCTCACTGTAAAATCACAAGCGAGTGAGTAAGAACTGGGTCACTGAAGTTGAAGCCTTTATTTTGAGGCAAGCAGTCATAAGAAAATGCTGACAGCAAGCTCAGATCAAGTGTGGGGGCATCCAAATCCCAAGACTTCTGGGCTTGCACATAGGATGCCTGCCAATGGATTTGGAAGTATCTGAAGTCCCAGGGTGAGAGCCTGGGATGGAGGATGCTGGCCCATTGTAGTACCATACATGGTGTTTAGAACAAGTGAGTTCTGCCTGCTCCACTGATGTGATTTTTGGAACCACTGCGCATTTGTACACATGGCTGTGCCACAGCCCTGGGCACTTTTAAAAGTCCCCAGAGCTGCGGCATGTGACGTCGTACGAGCAGCAAAAGATGCGTCCGTGTTGACAGTGGTGGCAGCGCACTGTGGAACTAAGACACATCGGAGACGTTTTAGTTCAAAAGCACGCCGCTGCCATTTTCTGCGTGCTGACTCACATTTCGCCACTTATACAACTGCGCACGAAGCAGCGCAGTGTGGGTCAGCTCGTGCGTGGAGCAAACACAACTAATGGAGGCTGCTCCAACCCACCAGATACCCAGCCCGCTGTGGGACAAAAAGCTCTGTGTATAAAATGCCCATTGACTTCTGTTCCATCCATATGGTCTGGAGCCGATTTGACCTGGAACACGAAGTACATTAATTTTTTAAAAAGCCCCAAAGTAGGTTAAGACTCTCTGAGACTGACCTGGGTATCGTGTATGCTGCCTCAAAAATGATGCTACAGCTCGAGTACTTGTGCTATTATTGATCACACATCCTAAAAGGGGTGAAATGACCGTACCCCGGGCCGGGCAGCACCGCCCCGCAGTGAAACGAGCGGCGTTTCCCAGGCTGGAGCGGGGGCGCGGACAGGAGCTCCCCCCGCCCGGGAACCGGCTGCGCCCCGGCCCTCGCGCTTGTCTCCAGCCCGCCCCCAGCACTGGCTGAGATGCGCCCAAGCCCGTCCGGGCCCGGGCAGGACCGTGCGCCACTCACCAGCCCGCGGCCCACGTCGGGCTCGCCTGCGCGGCTCCTGCCGCTGTACTCAACATAGCGCAGCCTCTCGGACGAGGCCCCGGCCTCCGCCATGACAGGGCCGCGAAAAGCCCGATAGCAGCCGAGGAGGGACCAAAACAAACGAGAGCGGACGAGCGAGCAAGCGCGCTGCCCTCCCCCACCCGCGCCGATACGTCACCGCGTTCCGAGAGCCCCTGGGGCGGGGTTGCGCCAGGCACGGGTCACGGGTGAGCACAGGGGATGTGTGTGTTGGAGTCAACTGGAGTCAACACACACACACACACGCACTCACTCACACACACACACACACACACACACACGCGAGAGGGGCTGTCGGCACACACTCTCACACGCGCGCGCGCGAGAGGGGCTGTCGGCACAGACAGGCCCTGCGTCCACTCACCTCTCCCTCTTACCTGGGGATTTCGGCTACCTGGGGATGAGGAAGAATGTCTTGTATTGGAAAGTGTGTGTGTACGATTTGTACTCCCTTCTCCACTTGAAGGGGGTTGCTAGCTGGTAGGGGTGCTGTGGACGAAACTGCAGACTACTCACAATTTCCCTCTGTCCCAAAGGAGCCAGGCCAGGACGGTCTGGAGCTTAACTATGTGCAAATGTATTATTACTTGCATAAATGGAGAGCCATAAATATAACCATATGTACAGACCTATATATTTAGCAGTATATATAGTTTGGTAGAAAATAGTTTACACCACTATTTTCTACCAAAGGTCCATAATACCACTGCAAATCTCGACAGTATTATAATTACTTACTCTATATGAACACATATGATTAATTTTTAAACCTACAGAAATAATTACTTGTCATTGTAAAACCTATTTTGAAATCAATAAAAATGTCCCTACCTAATCATTTTTCTGTTCATTGATTCACATAAACATAGGGAAGAAGAGCACATTGTTTGCTTATTCTTTCAATTAGTAAATCCAAATTAAAACACACATGATAAATTAAAAGTATAGGCATCTTTAAAAATGTGCATAACACCTTAGCCTTCTTCCAGTTTATGATGATTTGTTTAGGAAATTTAAACATTTTCTGAAGCTACTGCTGATGTTCTTTGACAATGGATAAGGTAAAACAGGAGAAGATGCAGCTATATGTATTTGGAGAAACAACTTGGACTGTGGGGAAGTGAAAAAAAACAAACACGTGAGATTAGAGGAATGCCAGGGACAATTCCACAATGGAAGAAGCTGCATTGACTGATTTTTCCAGCTTAAGTCCAGATTCTGCTGTCATTGTTGTGTTACTCACAATGAGAATGCCTACTCATGCAAGTAGCTGCATTTTGTTCATTAAGGCCATTCATATAAGTACCTACTGCTTTACATGAGTGAGGATTACAGAATATATTATTAGTGTTACATTGAATGTTGCATTATATTTTATTCAAATGCACATTTACAAAAAAATCTAATTTTAAAATACTTGTGGATGAACAACAGCAGCTGCCTTCCTTTTAAAGCACTAGTAAGACTTGTCAGACAAAAATCAGTGCTCTGAGAACATTCCATAATAAAATATTGTAATAATGCTTTGCGCTTCTGTAGCTCCAAAATACCAAAGTGATTTGCATGGATTAATCCAGGGATACAAAATAAATTTATAAATATTACTTAATTAAACACTACAGGATCCTTGTGGAGTACAACAGATAAGGGATCCAAAGAGATCTATTGAACTGAAAGAAGGCTGTTTAACGGCCCACAACATTGTTAAATTACAGTTTAGGATAAGAAGCAAAGAAAAATACTGTATCCCACTGAAAAGGAAATTCCAGGTTGAAAACTGTAATTATCTGAATAAAACCTTGTTCAGGACACTCAGGTTAATACTCACTCACACTCATATAGTACCCACAGACAAATAAACTAGAATTCAGAAGTGAACTCCCTCCCCCCTGAAGGAACAGATATTCTAAAAAAAGTGTTATTTTCACAATATTTCTGTTCTGGATAAAAAATCTTGTGAGGAAGCCTGATGCTGCAAGAGTTTTCAGTGTAATTTCTGAGCTAAATAGTATTACTTCAACTACAAGTGTTGCAGCTATATTTTTTCTGGGGTATGAAGTGCATCTGTCTGGACAGTAAGCATGCTTTTCTTCATTACACTAGATATACTTATGCTAACTAGTGCATTATGCACAGTAAAAACACCTATCCTTTATACTTACATTTCAAATTTGCTTCTTTTTAGCTGTTTTTTCTGTGCTAACATCATTTTATTTGCTTTCAAATTGAGAAATCCTATAGGAAATCCATCTGCTTTACTTAATATTTTTTTAATGTTTTAAAAAAATATTTAAAATAAAAACTGCCTGCAGATGACAAAGCATGACTCAATCGTGTTTCATAAGTGTTACCAAAAGAAGCTAGCCTTAAAGGAGTGAAGTTGGAGTGATACAGTGGGCATAGTATACTTGGATTTTAGAAAGGCTTTTGATACAGTCCACAGGCCATTCTCAAAAGCCAGTTGGAGATATATCATAGTATCATAGTAGCTAAGGTCAGAAGGGACCTAAACAGATCATCAAGTCCGACCCCCTGCCTTGGGCAGGAACAGATGCTGGGGTCATATGACCCCAGTCAGATGTCTGTCCAGCCTCCTCTTAAAGACCCCCAAGGTAGGGGCGAGCACCACTTCCCTTAGAAGTTGGTTCCAGGTGCTAGTCACCCTAACTGTAAAGTAATACCTCCTGATGTCTAGCCTGAACCTGGTCTCTATCAACTTCTGGTCGTTATTCCTAGCTACCCTGTGTGGTGCCCTGGGGAACAGGGCATCTCCTATTCCCTGCTAATCCCCCCTGGTGAATTTGTAGACAGCCACCAGATCCCCCCTCAGCCTTCTCTTGTGGAGGCTGAATGGGTTCAGGCCCTCTAGTCTCTCCTCGTATGGCCTGCCCTGCTGCCCCTTGATCATGTGAGTGGCCCTTCTCTGGACCCTCTCAATGCTAGCCACATCTCTCTTGAAGTGCGGCACCCAAAACTGGACGCAGTACTCCAACTGCAGCCTGACCGATGCTGCATAGAAGGGGGGGATCACCTCCCTGAACCTGTTTGTGATGCATCTGTAGATGCATGCCAAGGTGTGGTTAGCCTTGCTGACAGCTTCCTCGCATTGGTGGTTCATGTTCAACCTGGAGTCAACAATGACTCCAAGATCGCTTTCCACCTCTGTCCTGACGAGAAAGGTGTTCTCCAGCCTATAGGTATGCTGCCGGTTTCTTCTCCCTGAATGCAGTACCCTGCACTTGTCCGCATTGAATTCCATCCTATTCTAATCTGCCCATCTCTGTAACCTGTCCAGATCTAGCTGGATTCTGTCCCTCCCTTCTGGTGTGCCCACCTCACCCCACACCTTGGTGTCATCAGCGACCTTGGACAATGTGCTTTCCACGCCCTCGTCTAAGTCGTTGATAAAGATGTTGAACAGTATGGGCCCGAGGACCGAGCCCTGGGGAACCCCACTGCCCACATCCCTCCAGGTCGAAAACTACCCATCCACCACAACTCTCTGTGTGCGACTGTCCACCCAATTAGCCACCCATCTGATTGTGTAGGCATCAATGCCTCAGTCACCTAGTTTTTTTTTAATGAGAATGGGGTGAGAGACAGTGTCAAAGGTCTTCTTAAAGTCCAGGAAAACGACATCCACCCCCATGCCTTCATCCAAGGACTTTGTGACCTGATCGTAAAAGGAAATAAGATTAGTCTGACAGGATCTTCCCTTAATGAACCCATGTTAGTTCCCCCTGAGCATGATCTCCCCTGCTGGTCTCTCGCAGATGTGCTCCTTGATCATTTTCTCAAAGATCTTCCCCAGGGCCAAGGTAAGACTGACAGCACTGTAGTTACCTGGGTCCTCCTTTCTCCCTTTCTTGTAAATGGGGACCACATTGGCCTTTTTCCAGTCATCTGGCACCTGACCAGAGTTCTATGAGGGCTTGTATAGCTGTGCCAGGAGCCCTGCAATGACCCCCACCAATTCCCTCAGCAACCTTGGATGAAGAGCATCCAGGCCTGCTGATTTGAACACATCCAGCCCCTCCAGAAGTTCCCTAACTATGTCATCCCTAACCTTGGGCCTGGTGGTGCCTCCCCTGAGTCCTTCTATACTCCTGGTGGGGGAGATGTCCTGGTCCCTGCTCAGAAAAATAGAGGCAAAGAATTTCATTGCCTGTGGCAAGGACTAGATCCAGCAGAGCATTTCCCCTGGTGGGACTGTGCACCTCCTGAGTTAGGTGGAGGTATCTTGGCTCAGTTAGGTACCTCGGCTAGGAATCTATGCGAGTGGTTAGACCTAGCTGACTGCTCTTCCCAGCAGATGTCTGGGTAGTTCAGGTCACCCATAACTACCATATCTCTTGACTTGGCAGCCTCCACAAGCTGTCCTAAAAATTCCTGGTCCAGCTCTTCCCCCTGGTTGGGCGGTCTGTAATAGACACCCACTGATAAGTCCCTTTCCCCACGACCCCCTTGTATTCTTAACCAGAGCGCCTCAGTCAGCCCCTCTTCTGACCCCAACTTGCTCATCGAGGATGTGTATTGCTCCTTGAGACAGAGTGCTACACCCCCTCCTTTTCTCCCTGCTCTGTCCCACCTGTAGCCTGCAGCCCTTAATATCTACTGCCCAGTCGTAGATCAAGTTTCTGTGATTCCTACTATGTCTGGATTTATGATAGCTAGCAGGAGGGCAGGCTCCTCCTGCTAATTCCCCATACTTCTAGTGTTAGTGTAGAGGCATTTAAGACCTCCTTTGGGTGTTTGTGTCGCCCCCTTGTTCCTAAGTCTATCATGGCCCCTGTCACTTACTTGGGTACTTTCTGTGCTCAACACCTGGCTTGATGGTGAAGTGTCCTCCTGTGCCTCTGTGGCCCTGTCCCCCAGTGAGACTAGTTTAAGGCCCGCCATATGAGGTCAGCCAACCTGGAAGAAAAGACAAGTTTACCTTTTGGGGAAAGATGAAACCCATCCCACCTGAGCATGCCCCCTGCATGGAAATGCGGGTCATTGTCGAAGAACCCATTTAGACTAGACATTAGGAAGAACTTATTCACAGTTAGAGTGGCCAAGGTCTGGAATGGGCTCCCAAGGGAGGTGGTGCTCTCCCCTACCCTGGGGGTCTTCAAGAGGAGGTTAGATAAGCATCTAGCTGGG